TAAAACTAAAATTCATGCCAATATTTTTCCATGATTTATAATAATTGGAGTAATGCAAATGCATATTTTCTAAAAAAAGTCATTTTTAGTGAAATTTTGCCGGGAATGGGGCTTTAACTTGTGGCCGAGTTGACTTGTGGCCGAGTTGACTGCAGCCGAACTTTTTGTGGCCGAGTTGATTTGTGGCCGAGTTGACTTGTGGCCGAGTTGGATCGAATTCTTCAATTCGAGATGGGCTTTATCTCGGGATTAAGCCCACTGGGCTTCAATTCGAGGTTTTTTTTTACGGTATTAATGCTTGCGTATTATTTATGTAGGCTATACGTATTTCCATTGTTGTTGTGCTATATAAGAAATGATGAATTATGTGCTCATACAAAAAACTAAAATTAATTTTTGTTTACCGTAATTAAATAAATTTTATTATAATTATATGGCTAATTAAAGCTAGACTATTTTTTTTGCACGCCGCTGATACGCGTCATGTTCTGTTTTCTTCTCCGTATTCAACCTGTCATACCCCCTCTATAAAGTACAATTTTTTTTCAACTTCATGTTTCAAACAAAACAACTCGTTGGAGCACCGTCAGTCAACACCACTTGCCTAGTTTTCTAAAATAAGAATTGGTCGAAAGTAAGTGTAACTATTTCGGTTAAAATGTAATATGTATCGTTTGGATATGTGCTGTCACACTTGTCAAAATGTTAACATTTCATTTCAACTCACAATCCGGCCAAAGAGAGGTCTAGGCTAGGCCTATGTGCAGATGAGATGAGGTGAGGTCAAGGTCGGTGGTTTGTTGGAGAGGTCTAAGAATATGCGTATGCCTAGGCATAGAGCAGTCCTGTCCAGTGGCGGCGTCCAATTAACGACGGGACCAAGTCCACGACATGTGTTGGACCAAATAAGTCAGGAAATATTTAGTTTTCTTAAAATTGACATATAGGGACGCGTCACCATACTAAAAAGTCATTTTTTTGGCAGGGAGGATGTTTTTTAGTATTTACTATTCAGTACTGCCCTAGCTAGGCTGTGCTGGTACCAGGATTTCTGTGTCAAGGGGTAGGCCTAGTGGTCGATTTCCCTACAGTTCAGCTCCCCCAGGAATCTTTCTGGCCAGTCCCACTTCCGCCAGACCACTTCGACAAAAAAAAAATAAATAAATAAATAAGTAAAAAATAGTAACTACACAAAACAAACCTTACTGCTCAGACTTCTCAAGTACTATGGAACTTCTGTAGTTAGACCTATTTTCTATCATTGAAATTTTGCCTAATTACAAACGTAATAGACATAAATACTATGGAAATTTATCATAGGCTTAGTCCCATAAATAAATAGGTCTGAAGTCCACAACAAATGAGTTTTCCATCAGGATCTTCGGTTACATCGTCCCTAGACAACTCATACTTGTCGGATTACTGATAAATTATTGTGAAAACTAAGAATAAAGTGCCCCAACGTAATCTTTGTCCTGTTCCGTGTGTTCGAAATTCCACATCAAATTCCAGACAATCAGGCTTAGAGACGATTGGGCCCAGGCCGGTCGGGCCCATTTTGAAAAAAGATCTTGGTAGGGAAGGTCTTTGTTACACACAGGATGCGTCCTTTTGTATATCTTTTGCGTGCCTCGTGTATGCAACATTTCCAAGTGTTTAGGCTGAACAAGTCTTTGCTCTAACCTTTGCCCAGATATTAGAGAAAAACCTCATTAACCTTAAATCATTTAAGACCATCAAGCAAAATAAACGTCCATTTTTTCCTTTTTTTTTCCAAAATAAACTCCCTAACTCCCTTCAATTTCAAGAGTAAGTTCTAGGAAACTGTTAACATTAATTTGCCCAATTTTGAAATGGAAAATATGATACTGAAAAAATTACACTGAGACATTTGT